CTCCTCTGGTCTTTATCTCTTTGCAAGTGCTTTCATTTCTTTCGCAATTGGGTGGCATTGTCTTTCATTGTGAATTTGCACTTGGGAAATGACCAGGATCGTAACAATTGGTATCAGAGCGGACTTACTTGCTGGCGAGAGGTGTTAGTCACCCTAACACTAATTCCAAATTAGGTTAGGGCTAACCTAATCTCGGATTAGGGTTGGGAAGTTCGGGTTAAGTGGGGCAGCAAGGTATGGGGATGCTGCCCCCACCTGGTTAGGTCATGTAGGGTCGACATTGGACCCAACCAGGTTGCTTGAGTGAATGTATGGGGTGGCGAGACCCAAAGGAGGCTGATTGGAGTAAGCGAGAGGGAGTAGAGAGTGAGAGGTACTCGCACCTGGAATCTGGACTTCAGGAAGACATTGAGTGACTTTTGGGCTTCCACTCAAGAGGGAGACTTGATCGGAGGCTGCCATATCTGCATCGGATTGCTGCAAGTTGCTACTTTGGTCTTCAGACATCGACGGGGGATCCGGCTTTGCAACAGGGGTGTAGGAAGGCCCTTTTAGTCATGCTAGGACACTTCGTGTAGTGGTAGCTAGGGGTCAGGAGGACTCATGAGAGAGGGGAGTAACTCGTTATCCATCTTGGGAGGCCGGGCCTCACAGGTAAGTGCCGTGTGACCTGGGAAAGCCCGTGGGAGGTTGCTTGGTGCTTCATGGCCTGTTGGGGGTGTGCTGGGTTCTCTTCCTCTTCTCTGCGGTCTTGGTTGTGTGTGTGAGCTTGTGGATTGCTTTCTCACCTGATGGATGGATGGATGATGTATCTACTCTAAATGACATATCTTTCTACGGTGCATTTTGTCTTTTCATTTCTGAACGGCTGTAGAAGTTCTTGCTGAAAGTTGTCTTTTCCTTTTCAGTACGGTAGAGGCAGTTTGGGACCGACTTGGTACCCCTATCACGTTGGTCCTGGTCCACGGCCGACTTGGGACCCCTCAGGACCCAGTGGGACCAGGCCCAACGGGACAGGACCTTTTGGGCCCAGATCTGTTGCCGTCGGTGCATTTCTTTGTTGTGCTGAACTTGGGGGACATACGGACAAGCAAGGGCATTCCTTTCAAGGGGATCTTGGCTGGCCTTACCGCATGATAGCAAATACTGCCCCACGTCTGACTCGGCGACCGTCTGCACCCCTCGAAATCTCCATTGCTGCAGTTAGTTTTCTTCGGCTGATTTATCGTGATGCATGTCCCTTGTCAGGTTGGACAAGAGGGGATCTCCAGTTGATCTGATCGGGCCCGTTCTATAAATCAGTCCTCTCTGCTGTTTTTTTTTTTTTTTTATTCATTTATTTTATTTATTTAGTCTTCTACTGCGTGCCATTCTCTGAATCCAAATGAATTGCCGCTCCGGCTAGAAGTTCTACCTCTTCTCTGTGTGAACTTTCTGCTTGTTTCCTTCATCTGAACTATCTATGTCCGACATCGAGACGCATGCGCAGACAGCGAGAAGAGAAGAAAGGGAGAGAGAAGGTGTTCTGTTTGAGAGTGTGAGAAGGGGCAAGAGGAGAGTTCGTCCAAACGTCAAGAGAGAGCGGACCCCTCTTGAGAGATCTACTAACCCCCCTTCCTCCGGCATGGCGGGCATCACATCTGCCCAATGGCAGGCCATGCTGGACGCAGCAGACGAGGGCCAGAAACCATTTTTTCAAAAGTTGTATGATGATGTCGTACAGAAGGAAAGGGAGGCAGAGGCAGCAGCTGGAACCACAAGCATAGCTGCTCAGGAGGCCCTCCTACAGGTCCCGGAAGCCAATGATGATCGGTTCCTGGAGAGGCTAGCTGTTGTCGTCGCAGCCTTTGTTCGATTGCGGAACTTGGAAGATCTCGAGACCCGCTTAACAGCGCTGGAGCAGCGGAACCAAGAGCTGCAGGCTGAGATAACCAGCCTCAAACAGTCCCAACTGCCTGCCCCCCGCCCTCCTAACCCTCGGTCTGCTGTAGTCCCGGTCTCTCAATCAAACACAGCCTTCATAGTAAGATCAAGTGGAACCATGGCAAGCGCAGGAACCGGTGCCAGCTCCTCGAGCGGCAGCGCCGACAGTTCTGCGCTGGTCATGGTCCCAAATGCAGGGACTTCAGCCCAAAACGCCACAGTCCTTACTGGCGTTCAGTACAGCGGTCCCATGGTGGACAAGCGGGCGGCCACGCTGCCGTCCAAGTACGACGGGAAGGCAGACATCACCTCTTGGATTAGTTCCATGCGGTCGTACTTCGAGGTCATGTGGACACCGCAAGAGGACCGAAGTATGATCATGGGGACTAATACTGAGCCTGCCGTACGAAACCACATTGAGCTCCAAGTTGTCGCTGCAAGCTATAAACGCATAGACCTGACCGAATGGTTGAAGGTCACCCCTGTCCGCGCCCTTGAGGACCTTCTCCTTGACCGGTACCAAGATAAACATGCTGCGCTCAAGGCTAGGCTGAAGCTTGAGGCCCTCAAGGGCCAAACATGGAGGTCATCCATGCAGGCTTTGGAACAACTCTTGACTGGTCTGTTCACCACACCGGATCTGGGAATGACTGACGTGTCTTGTATGGATGTAGTCATGGGAGTGGCCCCTAAAGAATACCTCTCCTTGCTTGCACTCAAGGACCATGCCACCTAACGAGAGCTCATGAAGGACTTAGTCAACCTAGAGGCCAAGGACCTCGCTAGGCGCAAGAAGGCGCCCGCTGCCGATGGGAAACCACAACGCAAGAGGTTTGGAAGAAGCAACCAGCTTGCACTGCATGATCATCGGGAGGCTGAAGATGAGTCCTATGCGGATGATCTGTCTCTAGATGACGATCTAGAGACAGACTACGGGCTGTTCCACATCAGCCATTGAGTGTGACAGAAATGAAGATGAAAAACTTAATGCATTCAGAAAGACTGCTTCAAATAAGGGGCCTAACCGTGCTTCGGGTAAGGGAACTGTCATACACCTTCCCAAAAATGCTAAAGATCCCTGAGAAACCGGAGGACGCTTCCACCAAGCCTTGGGAAGCCCTCCGCATCAGCCAGAAAGAATGGGAAGAAGGTCCAAACTGCGCATAGGCTTGCATTGTCAAAAGCCTGGGCATGCTGTGCAGGATTGCTATCGTCTTCAGGGAAATAGGCAAGGGGCGTAGAGGAGTCATCAGCACTCTCTACAACAAGGGAAGTTGAGCAGTCAGTTGCAGGCCCTTCCGAGGAGCCTGGATCTGATCAGCAGCTTGCTCTTGAAACCCGAACTAATGCTGATTCCGTGGCTGGTGCAGTCCAAGTGTTATACACTGAGCCTTGGGAGGAGTCTAAAGAAGTTGACTTCCACGCCCACATGGAGCATTGGCTGCAGCTCAAGCAGCAACGCCGTGTTCAAGGGAGCGTGGAGCTGACTTTCTTTAAACTGCTCATTAACCGCCGATACATCCATGTGCTGATTGACAGTGGTTCAACCACTAATTTCTTCTCTCCGAGCGGGATTCGTAACGCGGGCTTGGGTATGAAGCAAGTGGAACTGCAGAACCCTTGCCGGACTCAGGTGGGCAACCAAGAGGTTGTCACTTCCACTCATGCTGTCAAAGGTGTGCGCATCACCTTTGACAAAGATCACACTGTCACACATGAGCTGAATTTTTATGTCCTAGACAAGTGTCCTTTCGATGCGGTCATCGGCTTGGGTTGGCTAAAGGCTCATTGCCTAAGGACCACGTGGGCGGACAATCAGTTCGTGGTACTTGACGCCAAGGGGAACGAGCGTACCGTCTTGTACGATGAGACGCGCGAGTCCCCTGTGACTCTTCTCAGTGCGAACAAATTCTGCAGATCAGTGCGCAGGCGCAAGGAAGCTGAGTTTGTACATATAGCCCTTGTAAAACCACTCCATGTGCCTTCTACTTTTGCTGCGTTTTCTACCTCAGTAAGTAACTCTACTTCTACCACCTCTACTTCTAATCCTTCTACTTCCACTGTGAATAATCCCTCTACTTCTAATCCGGTTGTCATTGTTGTAAATTCTCAATCTTATTTTCTTTCTCCTGATGAGGATGATCCCCCACCGGAAGTCCCAACAAACATTCGCCAACTATTAGATCGATTTCCTGAAGTCTTGGCCGAACCTCGCGGAGTTCCCGAGCGTCCGGTCGAACACAAAATCGAGATAATAGAGGGGAGTGTTCCTCCAAAGGGTTGCGTCTACCGTATGGGACAAGGCAAGTTGGAGGAGTTGAGAAGGCAGATTGATTATATGATTCATCGTGGATGGATTAGGCCCAGTGAGTCAGAGTTTGGTGCGCCTGTCCTGTTTGTGCCAAAGAAAGGAGGCAAACTCCGGATGTGTATCGACTATCGTGGCCTCAATCGAATCACCCGAAAAAATGCGTATCCTTTGCCTCGCATAGATGATTTGTTAGATGCGGCAGGTGGGTGCAAGGTCTTCTCCAAAATCGACCTCAATTCTGGTTACCACCAGATTGAAGTCGATCCGAGTGACCAGCACAAGACGACATTCAAAACACGCGATGGGTTGTACAAGTTCATCGTTATGCCCTTCGGTCTTACGAATGCACCAGCCACATTTCAGTGCCTCATGGACAAGGTACTTCGCCATCAACTCAACAGGTTTGTGGTTGTGTACCTTGATGATATCCTGATCTTCAGCAAAACCATGGAAGAGCACCTCAAGCACCTTGAGGAAGTTTTGCAGGTCCTCAAGGAGGCGCAGCTGCACCTTAACTTGGAGAAATCTGAGTTTGGAAGGGACAGCGTCATCTATCTTGGGCATCGGTTGTCTGCAAACGGCCTTGAGCCAGAGGCAACCAGAGTTGAGGTCATCTGAAAGTGGCGTCAACCAGCAAATGTACGCGAACTGCGTTCTTTCCTTGGCTTGGCCTCGTATTACCGGAAGTTTGTGCCCAAATTTTATGTCATTGCTCACCCTCTCTCAAGACTAACCAGCAAGAATGTTGCCTATGCATGGTGTGAGAAGTGTGAGTCTGCGTTCCAAGCCTTGAAAGAGGAATTGGTGAGTCATCATGTGCTTCGCATTGCAGATCCCAATCTCACGTTCGTAGTCACTACGGATGCGAGTCAGTTCAGGATTGGTGCAGTGCTGCAAGAAGATGATGGTGATGGTCTGCGTCCGCTCGAGTATTACAGCAAATGCATGCCCAGCCGCGAGGTAGCTACTTCCACGTATATGCGTGAGCTCTACGCCCTGCGCGAAGCTCTAGCACATTGGAAGCACTACCCCTTGGGTCGTCACTTCAAGGTCTACTCTGATCATCAGACCTTGCAATGGATTCAGACACAATCTGAACTCTCTCCTACATTGACCCGCTGGTTACATGACATTGATGTTTACAGTTTTGAGTTGAAACATAAGAAAGGTTGTTATAACTGGGTTGCTGATGCATTGTCCCGCCATCCTGAATTCTTGACTTGCCTTGTGGATTCATACGACCTCCGAAGAAAACTGAAGGAGGATCTAGTTGAACACACCGCCAAGGATCCGGACCTCAGTCCCATCCTCGAGCAGCTCAAGGCTGACCCTAACAATCAGCCTGATTTTCATGAATGCGAGGGTTTTGTATTCCGCCGGTATGGAAAGTTTGACCGTTTGTGTGTACCCAACCATGCGCCTCTCCGAACTCATTTCTTGGATTTGGCATATGGTCAAGGTGGACATTTTGGCTTTGAGAAGACTTATGGAGGTCTTCTGCAGCAATTTGATTGGCCAGGAATGAAAGGATCTGCTCAGAACTTCATTGTTGAATGTCAAGTATGCCAAAGAATCAAGGTTCACAGGCATAAGCCTTATGGCCTACTGAGACCTTTCCCCATTCCTGATGGACCCGGTGAGTCGATTTCCATCGACTTCACGGACATGGGAAAGTGAGTGAGGCTGGGAATTCACAAGTCATGGTCATTGTGGACCGCTTCTCCAAATTTTTTGAGCTTGATTCCTCTCCCTCCTCATGCCCCGACTGAACTTGTCATCGAAGAATTCCATCAGCAGTACATTCTGCAGTCCGGCGTCCAAAAAACTATTGTGAGTGATCGGGACACCAGATTCATCAGCAAAGATTGGAAGGACTTCACGTCGCAGATCTATGACATCTAACTGAACAAGACTTCTGGTCGACACCCCGAAGCCAATGGATTGGCTGAGGAGATCAACCAGACTGTCATCCAACTACTGCGCGCATTGATTGTTCCAGATCAGAACACATGGGACAAGGAGTTGCACAAGGTGAAGGGACTGTATAACAACTCCATCCACACTGCAACTGGTGTGACACCAAACCAGTTGCAATATGGATGGTCGATGCGTAATCCCCTCTCCTATCTGTTCCTCGAACGGTCACCTGGTCTGATGTCCGGCATGCCTGGCTACAATGCCAAGTACGCACGCTTGCTCAAAGCTGTTACAGCAGCTATGAACAAGCGCCAGCATGCCATGATCAAACATGCCAACAAGTTGCGCAAAGAAGAAAAATTCAAAGTAGGGGATTCTGATTGGGTCAAAATGTCTGAGTTTTCTGATGAAGAGGGCGTATCGCGGAAGCTTCTTTCGTTGTACTATGGCCCTTGGCAGATTCTGAAGGTAATTGAGGATGATTTTGGTCCTTCAGTTGTGATAGTGCCTCCTCATCTGCGCACGTATCCGGTCTTTCATTCGTTCAAACTATTCCCACACATTGATGATGAGACCTTTCCATTCCGAGACCCTATGATACCTCGCTCTATCGACGGCGGCCATGAGATAGACAGAATCGTATCTCACGAGGGCAGAGGGAGGAACAGACAGTATAAGGTTCACTTCCTCTATCACCCCTTGAATGAATTCTTCTGGATCGACCGGAAAGAGCTGCTAAAGAATGCTCCCCGTGTTGTGAACGCTTACGAAAGACAGATCGCAGAGGGACAGACTGCTAAGTTCGTTGCAACAATGACTCCTCATGGATTGACTAAGCCTCTCTTTCTGATGTACTCCTACGACGCATTTTGTGCCAACTCTGACTGAGTTACTCACTCGAAGGGACCTCGCACTCGAGAGGGGAGTAATGTAATGACCCGCCAAAAACACAGACTGAGAACACTGCTGATTTCTGGGATTTGTCACTGGAATGAATGCCTTGCTGTGATTCCCGCATTCTACTGTGGTCCCAAGTCTGTGTGTGTGCGTGCCTGCTGGTTTGCATGCCTGTCTGAGTGCTTGCCGGTTGTGTGTGTGTGCGTGCCTGCCCGTTTGCATGCCTGTCTGAGTGCTTGTCGGTTGAGTGTGTGTGACCCGCAAGGGTACTTGTTGGTTGCAAGGCCCCGCAGGGCCGGTACTTACCTGTGGCCGTGACTTAAGAGGGTTGCAGGGGGGGTAAACACTCAGGTAGCGGGGGATAGGCCCACGACACTTAGAGCAGCTGGGGAAAAGCACTCAAGTAGCAGGTAGGCCGAGCAAAAGAAGACAAAAAGTTGGCATTTTTAGAGGCCCAGTAGCGGTAGGCTAGAGGTAGGCCGGTACCAGTCCAAGTAGCCCGGATCTAGGGCCTGTCCGGACAATAACAGAGCCTGCAATGATGTTTCCCTCCGAAAGGGAGGAGGTACCGGTTGCTGGGAGGCCGCTCGGCCTAGGAAGTCACCGCCCAGGAGGCCGGTAGGCCGCTATATCTTCAGGAAGAGCGAAGAGCTCTTCCTCATTTGCGGTATGCAAGGATTGGCGACATGCTGCTGGAGCGCTAGCGCTGGTCTGCTACAGCACTGGGWGGAGGTGAAGGTAGCTGGACGCTCAGCCTAGCTATGGCGAGCAGCCCAGTGTGAGGAGGAGGAAGGAGGTTGAGGGAGAGAGTGGCGAGGCACGTACCTGGCTATGGTAGACACCATCTTCATCACTTGGTTGGGCGCTGCATCTGGAAGGCCCCGGTTGGGGTAGTGCGACACCTGGGAGAAGCTCGAGGYAGAGGCAGGCATAGCGGACCAAGCCAGCAGCGGCATAGCTGCTTTGAGTGGTCCTTTGGGCATCGGGGACAGGCCCTCATTAGTCCGCCATAGCCTATGCTCGAGAGAGGAGGCTGAAGGAGGGAAGCCATAGCTATGGTGGACTGGTTGTTGTTGTTGTTGTTGTTGTTGTTGTTGTTGTTGTTGTTGTTGTTGTTGAGTTGAGTCAGCAGTAAGAGGGAACTTCGGATATTGATTCTGGTTCATCCATTCATTGTTATTATCATTATTGAGGGGAGAATAAGATTGGTGAAGTGAAGGAGGAGGAGGAAGGTGGAGAGAGAAGGGGGGATTGTCATTGGTCTTGCTGGTGTACTTCTTCTTCTTCTTCTCCTTCTTCTCATTCTTCTTTCTCTCTCCTCTGGTCTTTATCTCTTTGCAAGTGCTTTCATTTCTTTCGCAATTGGGTGGCATTGTCTTTCATTGTGAATTTGCACTTGGGAAATGACCAAGATCGTAACAGAATGAACTTGAGAGGAGAGAGAGGAGTAGAAGAAGAAGAAGAAGTAAGAAAGAAGAAGAAGAAGATGTACACCAACAAAGACAATGACAAGGCTCTTCTTCTTCGCCCAACAATCTCCTCCTCCTTATCCCCCCGTTCTCTTATTCATACAAGAAATAATGATACAATGTTGAATGACTGGTCCAGAATCATGTCCGAGTCCCTCTTCTACTGCAGGTATCACTCAAGGTCCACCATAGCCATGGCCGCCTCTCCCACTCTTCACTCTCATAGGCCGAGGCTATGGCGGACTACTAGGCCTTGCTCAGATGTCCAAAGGACAACCCAAAGATGTCCAAAGGAGAACCCAAAGCAACTATGGCTGCTCAAGCTCTGGCCGCCATGCCCAACCCTGCCTTGAAGCTTCTTGGTGTGGCTCTCCCCGGCTGGGGACTCCTTGCTGCAGCGCCCACCAAGGTGATGAAGATGGCTGCCACCATAGCCAGGTAAGTACCCCTGGCGCTCCTCCCCCTTCCTCCTTCCTTCCTCCTTCTTCCTCCCTCTAGTCCTTCTTCCTCCCTAGCAGCGCAGCTCCAGCCCAGCGCTGCTCCCTCCAACGCTCCACCAGTGTGTCGCCAAACTTGCACACCGAAAAAGAGGCCGGGTCTTCCGCCCGGCCGGAAGATATAGCGGCCTGCTTTGCCTCTTGGGAGGTGACTTCCAGGCCGCTGGCCTTCCCAAGCAACCGGTACCTCCTCCTCTTTTGGAGGGAACATCATTGCAGACTCTGATATTGCCCCTACAGGCCCTAGACTCAGACTGGTACCCGCTAGACCTAGCCTACACTACCGACCTCTAAAAATGCCACTTTTGTCTTCTTCCGCTCGGCCTCCGGTACCTGCATATTTACCCCCCTGCCGAGTGTGGTACCGGCCTACCCGCTACTTGAGTGCTTTTTCCCCGCTGCAACCCTTCAAAGCCACGGCCACAGGTAAGTACCGGCCCTGAGGGCCCAACGAACAAACAAGTGCCCTAGCGGGCCACACACACACACTCATACCAACCAGCACTCAGACAGGCACAGTCACACACACGCAAGCCAACCAGCACTCAGACAGACATGCAGTCCAGCAAGCACACACACACACAGACTTAGCACGCGGGGAACTCAGTAGGGCATTCAGTCTATGAGCAAAACTCAAAAATCAGCTGTGTGTTTCAGTCCGTGTTTGGACGGGTTATCACAGTTAACTCCCGAGGAGGTCGCCGTTCAGCGAGCAAGCGCTCGTGAAGCACAGTTACAGCAAGCGTTAGATGAGATACAATATGCAGCGGAGACAAGCGGACATAAGGGAGTTAGAGGACATGGATCTAACGCACATGGATGGTGATGTAAGGACCGTTAGGACAGCCCTGCTAGATGTAGTAAAACTGTAGGACTACCATACGGCTCTCTTGCAGGACATTTAGAGGAGCCCGGACGTCTGGTAGGGCGAGTTTAGGTCTCACCTTCACCATCAAGGCAATGTGCCTGGCCGGTGGTACAGCCTCCTCCCTTTGTCCCACCGGTAACCGGGGTAATCCCATCTACACTTCCTCCAGTCTCAATACAGGTCGCTTCCCATCTCGTTATGCCTTTGACAAGCAGGTTCTCAGCAGGTCCCAGTGTACAGATTCTTGTACAGTCAGTGTTCTCCCAACCTCTGTTGCAGACTGCTGTAACAGGGCAGCCTACAGCCTCGCAGCCAACACAGCCGCTTGGCCCACAGTCCCAACAGCAGCAGGTACAGCAGCCTGCACCCCAAGTCCCACAACCTGGAATTGCGCAGGTTTCGGAACAAGGTCAGTGGGATGAGGACTTCCATCACAGCACCCAAGCCCTTTTCAGGTGATAAGAAGGGTGAGGACCTCCACACATGGTTGAGGACGGTGTCGGTCTACTTGAAGTGCAAGTTGACCTTCCCTCACAAGGAAGTGTTTGTGGCTGCCTCCTATCTTGAAGGGAGTGCAGCAAGGTGGTTGATTGGGTACGTGCAGTTGCAGGGATACGGTCATGACTTCTGCGCTTGGGCAGTCACCCAGAGACTAAATGACTTCATCAAGTTGGCGCAAGAAAGGTGGCATGACCCGTAGGAGGCCCAAAAGGCCACCGACGGGATACGGAACTTGAACTCAAGGAAGTTTAGGACAGTAAGGGATGCCAGAGACGCAATAGAGCATCTGATCTGTGTTCCTAGCGTACGCTACGAGTCTACGACCCCTAGGTCTTACTTACCACTTTCCTGAGTTGCCTCCCTACGGAGATTAGGAATCAGTTGGCAAGTGAGTCCATGATCACAGTACACAACTTCCCCTCGTTTAGCAAGAAGGCCCTAGTTCTAAAAGCAAAGATCGGGCATGGACAGCAACCCACAACGAATGGTAGGAAAAAGACGTTGCCTCGTAACTGAAAGGCCAAGGGGCACATTATGTTCGTCGACAACGATGGTACCACCATAGAGTTCGACGACGACTTTCAGTTGGGAGTAGAGTCAGAGTCAAGTAGCGCAGAAGCTTCAGGGGGTGGAGCGGTCGGTGCCTCAGTGCAGAAAGGTAAGGTTACCGGTAGACGCCGTGGAGGTTCCCGGTCAAAGAGTTAAGTAGACCCCAATGCTCCTTCATGGGAGAAAGCGGGGCTTATAGAGCACGTGTGGAGAGATCAGTATTCCCGTGCAACTTGTATTCATTATGGCTAGTATGGCCATACGCAGTTCAAGTGCCGCAACCAGAAGGTCACGAAAAAGATCTCGCCTATAATATGATAGGTGCAGACCTCCTCCGCTTTCCAAGGTAGCAATGTTGCCAGCACTTCTGGCACTGCTTCCAGAAACATGTCGAGCCAATAGGAATTGTAGTTGTTCCTACTAGGGTCGAGGTGGTGGATATACCCTCGTCGTCTCGAGAGATGGCCCAAGCTATTGACTCTTACGTCGTCCCGCGAGCACATTCAGACCAATCCATACTTTGTTCGATAAATGTGTTTGAATCCTTAGAGGAGCTAGAGGACGAGTGGTCTAGATCAGACCCACTAGCTTCTTGGGCGGCCATAGCTAAAGCTTCTAAGGGTGAGTTGTTCGTCAACGACATAGTTATAGGCGACCGTAAGGCTAGGCCTTCTACGATACATGCTCGATGACGAACTTCATCAGTCTTGCTTGTGTTGATTAGCTGCGCTTACAGGGGCAAGTGCAGCGCCTCAATCGACCCGTGGAGTCGACTTGTGCCAACAAACAGTGCATGGTAGTTAATGACTACCTAAAAGATGTAGAGTGTTGTTTCCTGTACGCGGGAGGGGAACTGAGACATAAAATCTCGTTCCTAGTCATCGATGATCTCCCTATGGATATCCTGCTTGGTATGTACTACCTTTCAGTTGCACAGCCCAATTTGACTGGGATCAAAAAGTGGTCAAACACATGCTGCCCGGAGGGGGGACTGCCAGATTGCATAAGTATAAAGCTAGTAGTCTGATCGAGTCCTACGGGTGCATATGCGTGGCCGCATTCAATAACTATCATAAGCAAAATCCGGAGGAGGGTATGTACTTAGTATATGTCTCTACAAAGGTTGAGCCAATGAAAATGCCTCCAGAGATAAAGGGAGTGGTCGCTAATTACCCGGATCTATTCGAAGAGTCAAAAGGGGTTGTTGAGAGGGAGGTTGTCCATGCAATAGAGATTATCCCAGGGTCTAGTATTTCAAAGGGTAGGATCTATCGAACGTCTCCAACAGAGCTTGATGAGCTTCGCCGACAACTCAAGGATCTCATAGACAAGGGTTGGATCCGACCGAGTGTCTCCCCTTACGGATCTCCTGTCTTATTTGTACCGAAGAAGGGGGGAACGTTGAGGATGTGCATTGATTATAGGGGGTTCAATTGCATCACTGTGACGAACGCAGAGCCCCTACCGCGCATTGATGACTTGTTGGACCTAGTGCAAGGGTGCCGATACTCCAGTAAGGTAGATATGAAGTTCGGGTACCATCAGATTGCAATCCGCCCCGAGGATCAACACAAAACCATTTTTCAAACGAGGTACGGTCTGTACGAGTTTGTGGTGATGCCTTTCGGCCTTTGCAATTCTCCTGCCACCTTTCAGCACGCGATGAACCGAACTTTAATGACTACTTGGATAAGTTTGCTATCGTGTACCTTGATGACATACTCATCTTTAGTAGGACTGTCGCGGAGCATGCAGCCCATGTAGACAAAGTCCTCAGTCTCCTTCGGCAGCACCAGTTCAAGATCAACCGGGAGAAATGCGACTTTGGTCGCACCCGGATCTTGTATCTGGGTCATGAGATTTTCGCGGAGCGATTGAAGCCCAATGACGCGAAGGTGGCCAGCATTCGTGACAGGCCGCGCCCTCAGTTTGTAACTAAGGTGAGGTCCGTCTTGGGTATGATCATCTATTACCGCAATTTCGTGAAAAACTTTAGTATAGTGGTTGTGCCCTTGTCGGATCTCACACGCCTTGACACCCCATGGGAGTGGACAGACAGGTGTGAGGCTGCTTTCAAGCACTTGAAGCATGCTCTCACTCACCATGAGGTCTTGAAGCTGCCCGATCCTGCCAAACAGTTCATTGTGACTACGAATGTCAACCAATATGGCATTAGCGTCATACTTGCTCAACAGGAGGGGAAAAAGTTGAGGCCCGTAGAGTACATGTCCAAAAAGATGCCCTCTCATAAGTTGGCTAAGTCCACCTATAAGAAGGAACTCTACGCGATCAACAAAGCGCTAACCCACTGGAGGCACTACCTCCTTGGGCGATTCTTCTACGTCGGGACTGATCATCAAACCCTGAGGTGGATGAGGACTCAACAGGTACTCTCACATGCTTTGAAACGTTGGATTGAAGTCATAGAACAGTATGACTTTGAGCCCCAATATATCAAAGGGGAGTACAATAAGATTGTTGATGCATTGTCGCGTAGACGAGACTTCCTTGGTGCGCTGATTACCGAGTTTGGGCTTGCGGACGATGTTACTCGATTTTTGGTGGAAGCCTATTGCGAGGATCCGTTCATGGCAAAGAGCATACTCAAACTCGAGGCGAAGGATAAGGTCACTTCTGACGAGTTTGTGTTGGTCGATGGCCTGTTGTTCCTCGAGAAGGCCGGGAATAAACGTTTGTGTCCCCAATAGAGAGTCTTTGCGTAGTTTATTTTTAGGAGAATGTCATGATGCCAACGGACATTTTTGATACAAGAAGACTGCAGCTAACTTGTTGCAGCAGTTCTGGTGGCCCACTAAGATGAAAGACGCCAAGCTGTACGTGGAGATTTGTCAGGTGTGCCAAATGGACAAGCCACGCACACGGGCCCCTCTTGGGCTACTCAAGCCCCTTCCTCAAGCCCCTTCCGATTCCGAAAAGGTCCGGTGAAAACCTGTATATGGACTTCCTGGATACATTGGTCACCAGCAAGAGTGGTATGAGGTATGTCTTTGTCATTGTGGATAGGTTTAGTAAATTCGCTAGGTTAGTTGCAATGCCTGAGACAACTAAAACCGAGTACATGGTTAGATTATTTAAGGGAAATTGGGTGGTCTGCCCAAGTCCATTGTTAGTGATCGGGATGTGTGTTTCACGAGTGAGTTGTGGAAGGCTGCAGCTGCTGGACAAGGGACCCAACTTCAGATGACCTCCGCGAACCACCCAGAGGCAAATGGACAAGTCGAGCAGATGAACCGTGATGTACAACACCTCCTGAGGCATTACATTAAGCCTAATCAGGTGGACTGGGATGAAAAGCTTGTTCTCGTCGCCACCGTGTACAAGACCGCCGTCCACAACGCTACAAGGGTGAGTCCAAACAGTCTGCTGCTAACTTTCAAGCCTCGACTGCCTTTAGATTGCCTACTACCTGAGAACCAGTCCACTGTTGCACCTAGTACATTGGAATTTGCTTACCGTTATGAGGGTCTTATGCAGCAAGCAATGGATAACATGCAGAAAGCACAGGCGGCGAGGATAGAGTAAAAAAACAAACATCATAATCCGTCTGCATATCAGGTTGGGGATAGAGTCTAGGTGAAGGCATCCGAACTTGGGCAAGAACACAGGATCTCTCGTAAGCTCATGCCGGAGTACTTCGGGCCATGGGAGGTTCTACACATTGTCGGAGATGATGCCGATACGCCTTCCTATGTGATAAAGATCCCTGGTCACCTTCGCACCTACTCTGTTTTTCACGCCTCCAAACTTGCACCTTTCAAGGAAACTTACCAGTTTCCCTCTCGTCAATCTATGCTGGCCCGAACCATGGATGGAGAAGTCGACATCGACAGCATTGTGGATCACAAGGATATGTCGATGCCGGGACCAACTGCCAGGGGTCGACCTCCGAAGCCGAAGTTGCAGTTCCATGTACGCTTCAGACGTCACACAGATCGAAAGGGAGAGATGGTTTACGAGAGAGGAACTGGTGCAAACCGCCCCACAAATTGTCACTCATAAGTCATTGCAGAAAGGGAAGCGCCAGATTGATTGAAGTTCTTAGACGACTATCGAAGTATTGAGGAGGGAATGCGAGGCCCTTGGCCTCAACGATCCCTATTGGACCATGTTTCCAGCATGCATGGCCGCCCTAAGTGAAGGCGGGCCTGCCAAGTGACGAGAGGCTTATTTTTGTGTTGGTTGCAAATGGGGAAATTCAGGCAGTTGCGCACCGTCAATTGGTTGAGTGAGCCCAGGCCCTGCCTGTCTTTTTCCAAATGTATCCGAGGCAGGCCCTGGGCCAGACACAAGGCATGAACTGAACACAGTACGCTTGGCAGTTGGACACGGGTAACAACCCCAGGCCCTGTGGAAGATTCCCTGGGACCGAGGCTCAGCCAATTGGGGCCTACTGGAAGCTTCCGGGGAAAGGCCCAGGCCAGTCAAGCAGTCGAGGACTGCCAGCCACTTTCCATAAAGGAAAGGCCCAGGCCGCTGGCACAACATTCGAGCACTCGCTACTTATGCGCCAGCGCTGCTGCACCAGCTGCTGGAGCAAGTGCCCACGCGCTCACGGGCGAGCTGGGTGGACGCAAGCAGCCATAGCCGGTCTAGCCTGCCCATTGCTGGATGGCGCGCATGGTGGTCTTCGGGTGCATGTGGCATCAGTGTGGAGGATCGAGGTTGTGAGTGAGGCGAGGGACATACCTGGTGCTTGATGCGAACGGCATAGGCCTGGATCTGCTCGTACTTCAAAAAGTTGTTGACATCACCGGCGGCATTGTAGATAGGCTAGATAGGATCTGCCATTCGTAGTCTGGGCGCTGAGCGCCAGTAAGAGGGACGGCATTGGTTCATTCCTGATGATGAAGAGACTATTCCAACATTGTCACTTATGAGCTCTGTTGTGCTCTTATTTGGTGTATAACTCGAGTTGCAATTCTGCTTTTGGTTCGAGGTCAAGACTATCTAGTCTCATATGTATGATGCTGCTTGGTTTCTGAATTTCGCTATCGCTCATTTTCCTTGCATCTCTCTCTCTCTCTCTCTCTCTCTCTCTCTCTCTCTCTCTCTCTCTCTCTCTC